GGCCGGGGGTGTGGAGGGGCGCCTCCCCGCGACAGGCAGGCTGTCCGGAACGGCCCCGGGCGAGGCGCGCTGGGAAGCAGCCAGCCCTCGGGCTGAGGGACGGTGGCTCCGGCATCCCAGCGGAGCAGGAAGGGCGCGATCCACACGGGCTTGCCCAGACGGAGGCCTGCGCCTCTCGGCGGCCTCAGCAGACCACCGGGGCCACGGAGAGCACGCGAGTGCACGGGGCCATTGCATTAAACTTTCGATGGGCATCCTCTTACCCAGCGAGAGCCTTTCCGAAAATATCGCTGACGGGTGGGTCAGTGTTTTGCACCTGTTTCCCCACGCAGGAGGCTTTCGCTCACCCGGGACGGGAAGCGGGTCCCCCCCACCCGTGTGGGGATCAGCAGTCTCTGGGGCTCCAAACTGGGGGGGGCAGTCTCCTCCCCAGGGCCTAAGCAACCCCCCCCCCGACACCTCCTGCGCTGGGGAGGCGTCCATCTTGGCAGCTCGTGGGCAGAGTCTCCCGCCAACATGAACGTGGCAAAAGGGGGCAAGAGAGAAAACGCCAAGTGTGCAAAATGCTCTGACTTGCATCAAAAAATAAATGCAAATGAGCACTGAAAACAAGCCAAGCATTCTGCATATGGATTTACATAACCCTATAAAAATTCATGAACTAGGAGTCCGAGGCACCGCGGAGGGTGTGCGTTGAACAGGTCATCCGTCTGATGGCGAGTTGTCATGTCTCATTTAGGGCCACGTATTTGCTACCTGTGTAATTATACCTGCTGTTCAAATGACATTTAATGAAATATTGCCTATTTATTATTTATTTAAAGCAATGCGGGAGGAAAAACGGAAAGCTTAAGCGACGATAGAGGGTACGGCTGCCATCTTGGCTCGCTGAACCCTCTGCAAAGGGGCACGTGACTTTGGTTTTTACTCTGCAGAAGAGCGAAACTGTTGCGTGGCCCCACCTGGCTAAAGGGCAGCTTTTATGTGAGAAAAAAGCCTGCATTTTTGAAATGGCATCTACCCCACCTTTTAGTGAGGTGGCGGAGGGTTGTGAGCGGCTGGTTTTCCAGGCCTGCTCCGAAAAGCGAGCCCCTCGGGCACCTCGGGAGCAGCTCCACGCGGCGCGAGCAGGGCCAGGGGGTGCCAGTCGGGCAGCTCCACGCTGCACCGGGGGGCCGTGAGCCCTGCTCTGGGGCGAAGGGGGGGCTCCGTGGCACCACGCTTTCCGCAGTGCAAGGCTCGCGTCTTAAACGGATTCTAATGTGCCTAAGTGCATGATAAGGCGCTGCTTAATGACCAGCCATTAATTGTTTGATTAATGCGCGGAGGTCTTTACGAGAGCAACGATGCTGCAGCCAGCCCGGTCCGTTCCACTCCCTCGCGTGAGAAATGGGCCGGTGCTGCAGGCGCGGCAGGTGTGCGTGGCCGCCGCTCGCACGAGGAAGCGTCCCCGGACGGCTCGCGCACGGGCAGGGGCAGCCGGCCCACCTGGCACCTGCCCCCAGCAGCTCCCGGGGTCAGATCCGGCCTGCCTCAGGGCCGAATCCGTTCCCGGGGGTCCCGACCAGCCCCCTCCCTGCTCGCGTTTTCCTCCACGGGGGCAGGAAGGCGGACGGCAGCCAGGAAGGAGTCTTTCTGGGGGCGAGCCGGAGCCGGAGCCACCGCCTTGAGCCGCCGAGCGCCGAGCGGGGCCGCCCTGGGCTGATCCACGGGGTGGCCCTCGGCCGGAGGCGGCTCCCCAACCCGTCACAGCGACAGCAAGGAGGCCCCGAGCGGGGCCCTTCGCGTCCGAAGAGCGCCGGCTGCCCCGCGGGGCCGCTCGCTCCACGCAGCTCCCCAGGCCCAGGGCCCCGGCCCGCTCGCCCCCGGGGAAAGCAGCCCCTGGCAGCACGGCCTTTTCCCGGGGGTCCCGCAAGAGCCCCGGCCGTCCCGGCAGAGGCTGGTTCTGCAAATTTCGGTGATGATAATGAAAGGAATGGGGGGGCATCTAATTAACAAACTGTGCGGCGTGGCCCAGCACGACGTGTGGTCAGACCGGTTCCTCCTTGTCCAGTGATGGTTTCCCGGGAACATGAAGCATCCAATTCTCCCGTCATTTCGTTGCACCGGCTGAGTTGGGGGTGGGAAGAGGCGAAAGGCTGGCATATGCTGGGAAGCCGTGCAAACACACATATACATTATTCCCGTGTTTCCCTCTGATATCTGTTTAATTACTGGAACAACTGTTTGATCATTTTATTATATTAATTTAGCAGAAGGAGAATTGTGTGATTACAAATGAACTTTGACCATGAAAGAGAGTGAAGTGTTGAAACTCGTTTTGGAGAAAAAGAAAAGCAAAATCCGGCTGAAAAGGCCAGAAAAGAGGCCAGGGCCCCCGGACTGCGGCCTGAGGGGGCTGCGTGGCTCCAGGCACGGGGGAGCTGGGACCCCTGTCCCCTCGCCTTCCAAAGTTCCCCAGCACTGCTTACTGGGGAGGCTGCGGCTGCAGACTGGCCTGAACTGGGAGCAACAGGACGGGGGGAGGTGGTGGACAGCCCTCTGCACTCCCTCCCTGGGGGGGCCTGCCCGCCGGCAGCCCCCTGCCCCGCCAGCCTGGTGCTCTCCACGCGGTGGGGATGATGGGAGTTGTAGAATGGATTTGCTGAAAAGTTGTGCACGGTTGTGTTGGTGAGCTGGCCGTTTCCACAAGGGTGCGTGTCCAGGCCCCATTCCCGGGCCCAGTGGCATTCCGTGTGCCGCTTTCCCTAATATACGCGCTTCCATCTACATCTGCGAACTCCGTGGCGGAATTTGGGAAAGGACGAATCCCAAACGAGAACTCAGTTTTGTTTCATGAATTGGTTTGAAAACGGGAAGTTTGGTACGTTCACATTGAAATCGAGACCAAGCGGGTTTGTTCCCCCTTGGAGGACAGGAGGGACCAGAGGCTGATGGCTGCCCCGGGGCAGGAGGAGGGCACAGAAGCCCCGGAGCGCTTGGAGCATCCCGGCCGGAGGGGACCCTTTGGAAAACCAAGCTGGGGCCTCGGTGGGGGCCCAGAGTCGGTCCGCAGCGTGCCCAGAGCGCTGTGGGGTGGACAAGTGTGAAGTTAGCCTCTGGACGTCACGCAAGGTGAGGGAAAGAGCCGGTGTGTGTGCACGGAGCGTGGCCCAAGTCGCGGCTCATCAGCGTTGTCTTCATTACTAGAAGGAAAGGGGCACGCTGTGGATGCGGCAGCGTGAGGGAGGGCCAGAGCCGCCTTCCCTCTGGGCCCAGCGCTGCACCGGGGCCTTCGCATCCAAGGCACGCGCCCCGCGACTGAGCGGTGGCCCGTCTGCACGCACTGCGGGAGGCCCCCCTCCCGAGGGCCTCGAGCGCCGCACTTCGTGGGAAGAAAGCCGAGGAAAGCGTCTGGGGCGCGGGAGAGCCGTTCCGCCCGAGCATCAAGCCAGTCCTGGATGCGGATCCCCCTGCCATGGGGAAATGGCTTGCGCGCCTTGCGCGAAACGGCCTGAGCACCCTGCCGCTCCCCCGCAGCACGCGTGGCCTGGCCTTGCAAACGGCCGGCCCGGCCCCGGCCCCGGCCCCGGCCCCGGCCCCGGCCCCTCCACGGGAGCCCCGCAGCCTGGAACCAGCCTATTATCTCCCCCGTCCGTCCGACCGCTGGAGACAAAGTGAGATGGACGCGCACAGGGAAGCCTCGGTTTCCTAGCAATCGCCGGGGCGGGAGAGGGCTGAGCCCCCCGCCCCCCCCGCAGGCCCCTCCACTGCCTGGTGCGGCGCGGCGAGCAGGCCGGGATGGCGGCGGCAGCCCCTGCACTTCAAATCTGACGTGACACCGGCTAATGGGGAGAGAGCCGGCCCAAGAGGCTCTCGAGGGGCTCATGCATTATGGATGCCGCCGCTCGCTCGCTCGCTCGCTCCCGCTCTCGCAGGCGCCGGGCCGGGCAGGGAGCTCAGCGGCCGGCCGGCCAGCCGCCCGCCCCGTTGATCCATAATGCATGGCGGCGCTTGGCGCACGGCTCTCGCGGGTCCGGCCGGGGCTCGGGACTGGGCCCAGGCTGCAGGCAGCACCCCCCTGCCCGCCCACCTCCTCCGGTCCGCCCCTGCCCACCTTCTCGCCTGGCGGGGCCTCCCTGCCTCCGATTCTGCCCAGCGGTGATTCCAGCCGGCGGGGAGCACGTGGCTCGGAGGAGCGCCCACTCGGCTGCCATGCTCTGCCACGGCCGGGCAGCTCCAGCCCAGGCCCCGTGTGCTCCGAAAGCGCGCCCGAAACGCCGCTCGGGGCCAGTCTGACCAGAATGATCGGGAGCAGCGCGCCTGGCGGGCGCACCATAGCCCGGCTGGGGTGCCGAGGGCAGGCTGCTGGGAAAGAAGGGACCCACAAGCCGGGCGGCTCGGAGCAAGGCCCCCGCAGAGCCAGGCAAACTGGCCGGTGGGAGGGAGGCCCACAGGGGGCCGGCAGCTGCACCGCTGCCGCTGCCCCCAGCTCTTATTTGCGTGCCCTCCCCCGGAGCAGCCGGCGAAAGCGCCCCCCTGCTCGCAAGGCGAACCGTGCGCCGCTCACCTTGGCCCCTTCCTCTCCCAGGCCTGTCGCCCAGCGAGAGAGAGCCCGGGGAGGCCAAGCGAGCCCTGTGCCCCTGGGAGCCCCGGCTCGGGAAGCCGGGCAGGAGGGGAAGCTGGCGGAGGCCCGCAGGTGAGGCCGCTCCTTCCCACAATGCCCCGGCCCATTTCCGCGAGGACCCTGAGGACGGAGCGCTGCGGTGGCCCTCTCCTTTCCCTCCCGAGGCCACTCATCCCTGGTCTCCCCCCCCCCCCATGGGGAAGCTCCTTGTACCCTCAGGATAACCACGCCGTGAGGAGGGCTTTCCGGGGCTTGGACCTGGCTCTCCCCCAGCAAATGGCCCAGCGTGAAGACCCCCCTCGCCCCCCACCCGCCACCCCAGAGACGATTAACAAGCAAGAGGAATGGCCAGCCAGTCGCCCTAACACCATAGTAGACAAAGGGAGCCTGGAGCATGCGCAGAGCGCACGCCTACAAGCGCTTCCTCCAGTGCTCCTGCTGGGCCTTGAGCACGGCCCGCGACAGCGTCAGCCCAGGTGAGGCGGTTTGGGCCCTGGGGGGCGGCTTCCCTGGTCGCAGCTTCCGGCGCTCCCCCACCCTCACCGCGCCGACGCGCCTGCACCCCCTCCAAGGCCGTGTCCCTTCCCCATCCGGCCGCCGGGGCCGGCCCCGTCCGAGGCAGGGGCCCGGGAGTGGGTGCCCGCCCGAGGCCGGGTGCGCAGGGGCCCCTCCGAGGCGCATGGGCTGCCCGCCCCGGTCTCCACGTGGCGCCGGGAGCAGGCGCCTCGGAGCCGCTGGCTGTCAATGTGTACTCGGGGAGCCCTTAATCCGCAGGTCGCTGACGTGATAAACAATAATGTCTCTTTTGGAGCTGTTATAACTTATCATGTTAATGGGCGGTTTGGGAGCCTTTAATTGGTGATTTGTGCATGGACTGTCACAAAATTTTAAAACACATTTGCCGTCATTTCTGGGGCGCTTGAGCAGCAACTGGCTCGCGACACCAACAGGGATCAGCAAACAACGAGGCCGCCCTGCCCGGGGCTCCCCTTCCGGAGGGGCTGCTGCTCCCCGCAGCCTCACAGCCCCGAGCGCGGAGGGGGGCCCGGGGGGAGCGCAGCCCGGACGGGGCCCGGCGTGGCTCTGCAGAGGGCCGGGGGCCCCGGGGGCCGCCAGCGCACGCTCGCCTCGTCCTGGGAGAGGCCCTTTCCCAGCTGTTTTCTCTCAGAGGGTGGAAGAAAGGCAGCGCCGAGGAGCTGCAGCCCCCCCAGCTGAAGCCCTTGAGGGGCTTCGGGAGCGCAGCTCGGCCGTGGCAATCGGCAGGGCCTTCTCCGGCTCGGCTCCCGGGCTGAGTGCCCCCCCCCCCCCCCGTGTCCTTGCCGCCCCGGCAGCAGGAGGCCTTTCTGGAAAACTGGCCCGGCCCGGAGCTCAGCTGCTTGGTTCCGGTCCCGGGGGTCCCTCTCGCTCCGACTTTTTGCCAAAGGCCCCGACAGGCCCCTGCTCTGAGTCTCCTTTGCTGCATTTACTCTCTGGGAGCGAGTCCTTCGGCGGCCGTGCCCAGGCCCCGTGCCGTGTCGCACGGCTGCGGGGGCCACCCCACTGTCCTGCAAGCTGGAGCGGCTGTGCCCCCCCAGCCGGGCCCCCTCGGGTCTCCGTGCCCGGCCAGCCCTCCCGCCCGCCGCCCCACAGCGCAGCCCTTTGCGGGGCCCCGGATGCTCCCTGGGAGCCCACAGGGGCCCGGCGCCAGAGGCTTGGCCAGGGAGGGGCGCGTGCCGAGGGGGGGTGCAGATCGGGGGGGGCCCTCCGCCGGGCTTCTTTGCCGATCTTCACCGAAGCATTAATTAAAAGCACCTGCCCTTGCAGTCAAGTTCTCCTTCATTAGGAATAGCGCGCATGTCAATGTGTAATTAAAATTATGCATATTTTTTAAAAATAGCTCTTTTGAAATAGAACCCCAGTCATCCATAGCTATTAATTTAATCAGCCAATTGAGCTCAGGTGAATCCATTTCTCTGCTCGCTCCTTCCCCTCCCCTCCCCCCCCCGCAATGCTGAGTGACGAGAGACGGGGCGGGGGGGGGGAGGCTTTAATTGATCGCGTTGCCTCAGCAATGCGGCGCAT